ACAAACCATTATGTTATCTGCCATCAGAGGAGAAGAAACGCTGCCGATGGCCCATGACTTGCCGTCGGCTGTGGGACGCGTCCGGCTTTCAGAGCTGGTAAAATGGGAGCAATGATGTCTCTTAACATCAGTGAAACCAGACTTACAGGGATCCTGCAGGTGAAGTGCTTCACAGGGTACCTGGTTTATCATTTGATGGATCAGCTGTTAACACATCAAGAGAAAGGGGCAGGAAGGCACCTCATTCACCTCAGTGCAAGCAGTTACGTGATGAACCAGATTCTGCTTGGTCCTGCGCCGGAAGTAATGCAGACTTGATTTAAGATGACATTGGCTGCCTGAAGTGGGCACTGTCTTGTGACTGCAAGGACTTCTGTAAGTTTTGTCATTTGTTTTTCATAACTGTTTGAGACACGTAAGACTTGAGGAAACTGAAGGTCGATTTGGGACTCTTGTTCTCTGGTCATTCTCTGAATTTTGGAAAAACACTTAAGAATCGTTTCCCTCCGTGTGCCTCCCTGGCTCCCGCTGTGAAAGAGAACTATCGTTCTTTGACACTTTCTTCATTTCAACACTCTGTCATGCCCAGATCTTCATGAAAATTTACATATGTCAGGTTCTCTGTATGGACACTTCAGGATTTTTATGAACCATGGGAATCAAAAGTTAGAAACAAAATTGAGCCCAGACTCTTTACTTGATTGTTCTTTTGACTGAAACATCTCAAAATATTCATGTTATGGAAAAAAATTCATCTGTTTTGAGACCCTGAAAACTTTTACTGGAAATGTCAGTATGCTTAAAAGTGCATTTGACTTTTAATTTTCTTTTAAAATCTAAGCATTTTGGATCCTCTGTTGTACCCAAATCTAGTTACTTAAAAATAGAATCGTATTTTTGTTTCACAGGATGAAATATAACCTGGTTGAGTTCACTTTCTGGAACTCTCGGTCTACTGTTATCCCATGACCCAAATCCAGAGACATAGTCCTCATACGTTATTGATGCATTCGTTATTCAAATGAAATAATAAACACCACATACTGACACAGCGGTCTCTCTTGTTTGGGGGCAATTTGCTTAGAATTTATGTGTTTCTCAAAAGTTCATAAGAAATGGCTTTGGTAGCCTGCCACTCGCCACGTCAGAATATCCCAGCTTTTCCTGGAGCTACAGAAAATACACCCCCACACGCGAACACACACCAATCTAAAGTTCAGGTCTTTTTATAGTAACGTAGAGGCAAGCATATTAAATTATTTTGCCACGTGTCTGCCAGGTTTTGACTTTCTTTTTTTTTGAATTCTGTGTTATAAAGCAACCAAAGCAGTTCCTAAGTCCCGCGGCTGGTCGAAGGTTCTGAGAGAATAAGCCCTACATGTTAATAAGGCATCTGCCAACACCTTTGGCAGGTAGGCAGGCAGGTAGGTGAGACTACGGACGAGGAGGGAAGCCAGGCGGCAGGGAAGCAGGGACGGCCTCGGTCGAGGCCAGGCAGGGTCCCTGGCAGGGCTGGCGTGGAGGGACTCACGTGTTCCTGGTTACCAGCCTGTGTGCAGCGATCCGTTCTGGTTTTAATCCTCCTGGGCTCGATCCTCTCCCCACTTTGAAGTCCCAGGGCTGCCGGGGTGGGAGAACCCTCTGCCTCAGCCTTTGTCATTCATGCCCGAACCAAAGGGATGATGAAACCTGCGTGTAATGTAACAGAGTCGAGTGGGCGAACAAAGGCAAGCTGTGGGTCCCTAGCGTTTGTTTTCTTCCAAAGAACAGTAGTTAATTTTATTGATCATCCTTGATGAAGCAGGTCTCTGAAACCACCCTTCAGCGTCTTTTTACTTACGTGTTGTTAAATATGCTCAGTTGGTGTGTTTGTGTCTATGTGTGTGTGTGAGAGAGAGAGAGAGAGAGAGAGAGAGTTGGTTCGCTCTCTTTTTTTGTTTGTTTCCTTTTCCTGACTTGTGCTTAACTCTAGGTGTTTGGCTGCACTGGTTTACATAGAATCACTTTGGGGGGCACTAGATCCAGAATATGGGCTGTATTTCACCCCTTTTGAAATTAGATGTTTCTCCTGAAGCTTTCTCATTTTTTCAATTGTTTCTCCTAGTGAACAAAAGCAGCTTTCGGTATTCTGAAGTGCATGGCCTTTCTCATTTTTAGGCAGGATTAACTTGGAGGAGAATTTTAAGATATGAGGAAAAGATGTGTGTCCCCCCCACCCCGCCTTATTTCCAGCTTTTGGAATTTTTTTTTCTCAGTCGATCTCAATTAACTTTGATTTCTTTCTTTAGGAAACCACGTGCTGAAATAATGCTTTGCCAGATGTGAGAATGGGTTCCCCCCCTCCAAACACACACTGAAGCCTTGTTTTAGTTCTAGGATTTTGGTCCATTTGAAAAACCGTGTGCTTCATTTATTTGGTCAGTGGGCGTGTTTGCAAGAACACCCTGCGTTATCTTGGGGATAGACTAATATTTCAACACTGGGACGCTTTCTGTTGCGAAAGCCATTTTCTTTCTCATTTGTAATTTACAGCTTAGCCTGTCCCTTACATCTAACCTGTTTCTGCCAATTTCTGATACAAGTTGTGTATTTATTCAGGTTTCTTTTCATTGGTGAGCCAACGCTAACATTACATAGTGTGTTATTCCCCTCCAAGCCTTGGTCCAGTCTGCAGGACCAGGCAGGAGGAGGGGGGCAGCCTTCAGCCTGTGTTTTGTTCAGAGTGTGTCAAGCCATTCTGCCCAGTGCTGCGATGGGAAGGGAGGCCCTGCTGTGCAGAACTTACTGAGGAAGCTGTCGTTTGCCTTCGTTCATTAGCAGGACTGCACTAAGTCCATGGTGCCCGTTTTGCTTTTAAGCCCATGCCCTACGTCCGCTCACTCCGTCTGTGACCAGAAGAGAGAGCCTCACAACCCAGGCCCCGACATCTCCCATGCCCACTTCTACACAGAGGACTTCAGGGCTGCTGCCTGTTGGTTGATGTGTTTGATTTTGCTGAGTGTTCAAGATGCCTAGCTTTTTTTCCGCCTCTCTCTTTCTTGTTCCTGATGCTGGCTCTCTGGCTCACGCAACCCACCCTTCTATACATTTTGTGTCATTGTTCAAACCCCCAGCTTCCTCTTTCCCAGTGTCACAGGGCTGTGATTCTGAGGGACGTTAGAGAAGTTGGAGGTGGGGTAAGGGTTGTCATATAAGCACGGGCACCTGGCCACCACTCTGAGAGCCAGAGCTTGGACTTTGTTCTTTGTGGTTCTCCCCCACTCCACTGATTCATAGCAGAGGGTGCCCCACGGTGAAGTGCATGTACTTGGGGAGCGATAATGAAGTTAGTCCCTGGGTAGGTGGGGGATGGAGTGGTGGAGGATGCCCTGGGGTAGGGGTCGGGGTGCTTTGTGAAATTGCGTGTGTTCCTAAAAGATTCTGAAACTTCTGGGAAGGGAGGGAGGTGTCGATCTTAGAAAGGCTGCTTCGTGAGGCTCTCTTCCTAATGCAGGGGGAGCATCCTTGCTTACTTAAATGTTAGTTCAAATAAGAAGGGAGTGCTAAGGGAGACACACACCCCAGACCAAGGACTGTAAGAAGGGCATTGTGGGCCATGGGGGCAGGAGGGAGCAGATGATAAAACACTAGTCAGCATCATCACTAATTTCCCTGCCTGATCCTGGGTGGCTCATTTCAACGTGAGGTTCGGACCTTTCTGGATCTCAGACTTTCTCTGGACTGGAAGGTCTCTACCATACTCACTGGCTCCATAGTTTCCATTTTTTAAAAAATGTGTGACCCCAGCCAGCATTTGCTTCTCACTAGCTAATAGCAATTCCGAGGGCACCACAGGGCTGAAATAAACGTGAGCTACCACACAGATTTCCACCCCCCATTATAGAAACCAAAACTGGACTGTCTCGCAGTTACTCTGTGTAGTTGCTGCACATGTACCACTCAAGGAGCTGGAATCTCCGGATCAAATTTGCCTTCGCTGATTTGGCCGTAAAAACAGAAGCACAGCCGTAAGCTCACCACTTGTTTGACTTAAAGCCACAGAAGAATGATCCAACAATGACAGATTTCGACTTCTCACCAAATCATGCAAAAAAGAGCAAAGATATGAACAGAAAGTAAGGGGAAGAAAGAGCTAGTCAGGGATTCAGATATCTTAAACATCCTGGTATTTGGAGGCATCTGGATAATTTTTTTTTTTGGTTCATTTATCACCCAGATGTTCACCATCATGAAAACACCACTTGAAACTCTCTTTCAGCTAATAACTTAGAAGTGGAAAAATTCGTACCCCTGCCTCTTTGTCCTTTGGTGCCCCATTTTCCCCTCACTCTTCTCCTAAGTAGCACTTCTTTCAAATCTCCTGGGAATGTGGCAGTTTGGCCATATGCTTAAGGTGTTAGCCGTCACATTTCTTTTTTTAATCTTCATGACCATTCTGTACCCTGTCTGCTTGAATTATAGATTGCATTTGTCAAATAATGACACATGCAATTTGATGTCTTCTAAGACCTTTGAAATTCAACTTCCTTGAGTTGAGATTAAAGTGGGTATGATCCGTCCTGCTGCAGCCAGGCCTGGGATGTTTGGAGACCTGCACAGAAGTTTTTCTAGGCTGGCCAGTTCCAACTCTTACCGTCTGGAGGAAAGAAAGCCAGCTACTTTATTCTTCCGAAAGGTACAAACGGATGCTGTATGAGTCCCCTAAGATGGGGTCCCAGGTGGAAATGACTCTGATGTCAGCAGTGGTTTGAAACGCGACTGTCCTTCGGAATGTCTTGACTCTGTGTTTCTTTGGGCATGCAGGAAGCGTTATCTGTCGTGAGTGAGGACCAGTCACTGTTTGAGTGCGCCTACGGCACGCCGCACCTGGCCAAGACGGACATGACTGCGTCCTCCTCTGGCGACTATGGACAGACATCCAAGATGAGCCCACGCGTTCCTCAGCAGGACTGGCTGTCTCAACCCCCCGCCAGGGTCACCATCAAGATGGAATGTAACCCCAGCCAGGTGAATGGCTCAAGGTAAGGAGACCGACCACTGGCTCCTGCTCTCCCAGACAGACCTCTGGTTCCCCATCCCTAAAAGTGGCAAAGTGGACGCGGGTCACACTTCCCCAAAGCCCGTTTCAGAAAGTGATACCACGGGACGGTCCCCTTGGGCGAGGCTGAGAAAATGTGTTCCCCAGGGGTTCGCGCTGAGGGTCGAGGTTGTAAAACCAGTAGTATATTTACCGAGAACTCGCTTTGAAGATACGGTGTTCAATTCCATTTCCCAGGCGTGAGGGCTTGGTGGGAGGGGGCCTCGCCCACATGTGGCAGGATTCATCTCTGAGGCTTTTATTGCCCGGAAAGTAAGGCTGTCTTGTGTTTTTGTGGAGGCAGAGTGTCAGCTAGGGGCCGGGCGGTGCCGCGCGTGTCCAAGCAGGATCCGCTTCGCCGATGCCCCCGCTCCCCTGGCCTGCCGCCCCCCTCCACCCCTCCTCCTCCTCAGTCCCCTTCTCTGGATGTTTGCTGTTTATTCCTCTCCTTACACTTAAAACCAAGCGCCAGTGTCTCTCATCCATGTTATCTTTCCTGAGTTTGCCATGTTAATGCTGCTGCCACATGGAAGGCACTAGGGAATCATCGACTGTATGATCCCTGGCACGCAGAAGCAGTTCATCAGATCCCGTTTTGAAAAGTGAAGTTGATTTCAGTTATGATATCCTACCCCATATACCTTCAGGAAGAACAGTATAGACTCTGAGGACAAAGAAATCATGATTCCTTTTAAAAGTTGCATAGTCTGCCTAGAGTCAGAAGACCAGCTTACTTTTTCCCAGTGGTTTACGATGTATAAAGCCCTTTTACATCCATGACCTGTCGGTCATCCACGCAGCCCTGTGAGGAATGCTTGTCCCCATTTGATGGATGAGGAAACTGAGACCCAGGCATTCTCCAGCTGACCCAGATCATCACCGAGAGTAACTGAGAGTGTGAATGTAAACCAGGGGTGTTGTGCTCCACGCCCAGTGCGTTTTTCCACTCTGTCGCAGCTGGAATAGGCCCTTTTTGCAACATACATTTTAATGCTAAATATGTTTTTTTTAACCGTCATGTTTTGTAAGTGTTGGAAACCACTGCCTCAACTTCTAGTGTGGTGTCGATGAAGGTACCAAGTCAGAGTCCTTAGCGGGAATGTCAGCGGTGAGGCTGGGGGTGCCAAACAGGGGGATGGGAGGTGCCAGGACTCACCTTGGCGCTGAGAAGTCTGCTCCTGTCTGTGCATCAAGTTTCTTTTTGAAAGTAGGAACAATAATTCTGATTTTGCGAATTAGCTGCGACTCTGTTTCTGTAAGTGGAATTCAAGCCAAGGCCGGCCCTTCTTGGACCAAGTGATTAAGTCCTAGGCTTTTGAAAGGACCTCGGTAGAAAACGCAGTCATGGGATCAGGATACTGGGGTCCTGGCAAGTTAATCGTTGTGTGTAGGTGTGACACACGTAAAGCCTCTCCATCAGACAGTGTTTCCACTGATCATTAAGCGGGCGTGTTTCCGAGACTGCGAGGCATGCCGGGTAATCCTGTTCTGCAGACACAGCAGTGTTTACACAGAACAGCTGTGGGGTCAGCCCTGGGAACACGGATGGCTTCTGTGTTTGATCCCATACATGCCAGGGTTGTCCCGGTGGGAGCGCTAAGAGCAAGAAATACATCAGCATGCGTGCGTGTGCGTGTGCGTGTGCGCACACCTGAGAGAGAGATTGTGTGTGTAGAGGAGAGATTGTGAGAGAATAGAGATAGTGATGGAAAAGGAGAAAGAGAGGGACGAGGCGAGAGAGGGAGACGACACTTAGGGCAAAGGGCGCCGGGATGGCTTCCAGCTGGCGAGGAGCAGAGCTTGCCACGCCCGGGCCCTGGTCGGCAGAGTCTGGATTAGGGCCGGCTCGAGGAAGGCCCGTCTGGATTCAGCAAGCTTCATAAAGGAGACGGAGTGAGGAGGTGAGAACGGTAGTGCAGAAGCAAAACTTTCTCTCGTTCTCGCTGAATTATTCCTGAATTTAAATAAGCACATACACACATACCCACATGCATACGTACGTACGTACACAGGTACAGACAGACAGACAGATGTACATACATACATGAGAGAGAAGTGTGGTTCCTTTGACACAGGCCTGTGCCCTCTTCCATAGCTGACGTCCACTTGCCCTCCTGGCTGGGCGCTGGGGCCACCCTCCCAGCTCAAGCCGTCCCTGCAGGGATTTGGAATGGGGTCTAGGGGATGGGGAGCTTGAGGCAACCCAGAGCCTGGCTGAGGGCTTCCATTTCCAAAAAAGACACGGGCCCTGGGAGATTCTCCCGCATTCCTCAGCTGGCTGATGAGGTAGGCTCCTGGGTCCTTCCTCTCAGGCGGGTGCAAAGCCGCAGGCTCAGCGGAGGGTCTCTGTCCCGCAAAATGAAATCGTTTTGTGAGGAACTGGACAGTTTTCTTGCAAGGGAATGCCAGAAGTGCCGGTATCTTCCTCTCGCAGGCCCTTGTGGAATTCTGAGATTGCTCAGAATGCTGATGTCTTGGAAGTTTTCAAGGTAGTTCCAGCTTTTGCAGCAAACTGGGATGTGTTTTGGTGGCGGATACCGAGGGAAGTCAACCCTAGTGTGGTCCTCGTCTTCCTTCTGGATGCACGGTGGCACGGGCTTGGTGGGCACTGTCCAGGAGGAGGGCGCCAGGGACCTCACCTGCTGTGATCCAGTCTCGTGCCTCCTTGAAGGAGAGTGGCGGTCGTGGCTGGAAGTTCTGGGAAAGGACCTCAGCTTTGCGGGACTGAGCTGTGATGCAGACCTCAACTGGTCACCAAGTACCATCCCTCCTCACTCCCAGGAATGTTCTGGGGAGACAGGAGGGTACATGTATTGATCATCTTGGTAGAAGAGGCTTTTGCCTGCCTGTCCGTCCCCGAGCTCCATGTATCTGCAGGAGTCGAGCATGGGGCCTGGCCCGATGTCAGTCATTGTTCTCCAGAGCAATGGAACTGATGGGATATGCGTTTAAGAGACTGATTTTGAAGAACTGGCTCACTCGGTTGTGGAGACTGTCAAGTCTGCGATCTGTAGGGTGTACTGGCAGGCTGGAAACTCAAGCAGGAGTAGATGCAGCAGTCTTGGGGCAGTGTTCCTTCTTCCTTAGGAAAATCTCAAGGTTTGCTCTTTAGACCTTCAACTGATGAGACAAGGCCCACCTCCATTCTCAGGGATTATTTCACATCAGTGGCCTGTAGATGTTAACTGTGTCTGTGAAATACCTTCAGACCAACACCTCGATTGGCATTGGATTAAGTCACTGATGTGATGCACTGGCCCCGTGGACCCAGGAAACTGACCGCACCTGGTATTCCCGGCCCCTTTGCTGGTCAGTGGTTAGTGGGGCCATTCCTTTCAGACATTCAAACCAGTGTTTTCTGAGGCCAGTTCCCTGTCATTGAAGGGGCTCAACCTGGCTGGACGGGAAGCGGTCACAGGGTTTATGCATCAGATTGGTGGTTCACCAGGACCAGCCTGAAGGCTGGGACCTGGTGGAATACTGCCAGGTGGGTGGGGAGGCATCGTCTGCTCTTCGGAACATGACAGCTGCCTGAAGAGGCATGGAGGGAGGAAAACCCAAAATTCACCTGTGGGGCTAAGGCTCATTTCAGCTGGAGGGTTAGAAGAGGCCCCACAGGCAGGAGGACTGCCGGGATCAGATCCGCAGGTTTGGCTGACTGGCGGCGTCATCTGTACGCATGTCAGCTCCAGCTCCATAAAACGGAACGTGGACCTGCACTGGCTCTGCTTTCGCTCTGGAGACCTTGACTAGCACCTCAGGTGCACCTACCCTGCCCCAGGTGTCAGGGAGCTGGAAGGGCTCATGGCAGAGATGCTGCGGAGGAAGGGGGAGGATGTGGTTCTCTACATGAGCACCAGGGATGGGGGAGCAGCTCCTCAAAGGGCCACTTCCCTGTGTCTTCTGGGAGATGGCCCACCACCTGGAAACACTGGCCAGAAGTGCCAGGGAGTTAGGGATGGCAGCTAGAAAAGAAGTGAGCTTGTGTGTGGTGGACGTTGATGTAGCACACTTGCCTCTTAAAGTCAACTTCATGGGGAATTTATTTAAGTCAAAAATTGGACTTGGGCTAGAATGTGTGGGCTGTTTCCTTTGTGACCCCTCATTGCTCAACACCTCTCGGGGGAAGAGTTCTCTCTACAGCCTGGATCTTGCCAGAACACAGCCCAGCTCTTTCCATGTGAGATACTGCCCCTGGGAATGGTCCTCTCTGTTTCTATCCATCCATTATCCTCAGAGGGAAAGGCCAAGACTTTGGGAGGAGGGAGGAACTTAGCTTCCCAACCAAGTGATGGAATTCTACCAAACCTCAGCCCAAACGTGCACACAGGCTCCTGAAATGAAAAACAAGCGGAGAAATGAGCTCTGTTGCCGTTATAACAGAGCGCTGTAAAAATAATAAGAGGAAAGCGGGAGAGAAAGGGGCCACGCCTGGTGAGCCACCAGGGCCACCACTGCAGGTTTGGCTTGGTGGTGGCTGTATCAGAGGACACAAATTCTTGCAGACGCTAATCCAACTGCACGTTGCATGGACACAGCACATCATGTCTCAGCTGCAGTGGTCCACAGCCACCTTGCCTCTCGCCTGTCTTCACTCCAGCCTCCCAAGTGTTCCCACAGTGGGGACGTGGAGACGTGTCAGTGCAGACGAGCTGGAACCTGCTGTCCCCTGTGCGGTGTGTGCGCACGGGGGGCCCGGCCGGGGCTTAGTGCCGCCTAGCCTCCAGCAAGCCCCCTGCTAACGGCTGTAATTCTCTGTGAAGTTCCTAAGGCTCAAGCCACTGTGGACCAGCAGAACAGGCCAAGAAACAGACACATGCACACACACACACACACTCACAAGAAAATTGCCTTCCGCTATGAGCAGGCAGTGTTGGGTGCAAAGCAGGCCGCTTTACTCTATGCCAGCATCCCTGCCTCAGAGATCCAGCCGAATGTCAGGCA